CCTTCTCCTTCTCCTTCTCCTTCTCCTTCTCCTTCTCCTTCTCCTTCCCCTTCCCCTTCCCCTTCTCCTTCTCCTTCTCCTTCTCCTTCTTCTTCTTCTTCTTCTTCTTCCTCTCCCTCTCCTTCCCCTTCTCCTTTTGGCCTCCTGGGACTCAGGGGCCCAGGAAGGCAAAAAACGGAGCGCATGGGGGGTCGCGCAGCACCCGTCTGCCCCCTTGCCCTCCCTGCGCACCCCTTTTTGCCTCCTGGGCCTCAGGGGAGCCTCCTGGGTGAAGCAGTAAGACAGCGAGGGGGATCCTGGCCCACTGATTGTAGGAAGAGCTGATCGTGGGGAGTTGGTCGTAACTGCGAGGACCAGTTGTCAGCGACTTTCCCCAGTGCCATGGAAAGGAGGCTGAGACTGTTATAACTGTGAGAACCAGTTGCCCGTGACTTCCTTCAGCGCTGTGGAAAGCAGGCCGAGACAGTCATAACAGCGAGGACCACTTATAAGCGACTTTCCTCAGTGCCCTGATGCGGTTGTCAGTCAAGGAGGACCCGTCGAAGTCTCCCTCCCTCCTTGAGTTTCAAACCTGGTTTGTTTCGCAGCGACCGCTCACCCAAGATAACGGTGAAGGAAGATGGGCTGATCACGTCTGCATTTCGGAAAACTGGGTTTTCGGGATCCAGATCTTCATGAAGACAGTGAGCAGCTGTCACAACCCACCGGTTGCCTGGAAAATAACAAAAACACAACCTCAGGAGCAGCAATCAAATGCTAGCGGTTCAGAGCGGTTCGGCTGAACCGGTAGTGAAAACAAAAGCCACCGACGATCGGCTGAGGGGAGAAAGGAGAGAAAAGCATTGCAGAGTCTCAGCTGGTGTTTGGAAACTGCGTGCGCACATTTGGTGCGTGCACGCACACACGAAGTGCGCGATCATTGAACTGGTAGGGAAACTGGTTAAATCCCAGGGGTGGTTAGTCGGTTGCAGGTGCAGAGGAGAGCAAGGACTCAGACGAAGGTGCCAGGACCGTTAGGCAGTGGACTGCTGCCTTCAGACATTGTGGGGTCTGGCAGCAGCGATGAGGAGGTTCCCGAGGAGCCTGTGCCAAGTGCGCATGAGTGCGGGGCTGCTCGCAGGAAAGAGCAGCTGCAGCAGCACGGGCGACGCGGGAGTAAGGCTGCAAGGTAATGGCCCCTCCTTCAAGCAGATAAAAGCCAGCTGTGAAGTGAACGTTCTTTGCAGGAAGCAAAGACGTTTTGAAACTCCAGCCTCGTGGACATTCCAGTAGCTTAAGTTGGTATTTAAAGACTCTTGTGTTGTAAAATATTTCTTATCTGTTATTCTTGTGCTTATCAAAGTTAGTTAGTTTGCAGCAGCCTTTTAACTGGGGATTCGTAAGAACCATGAAAAGGTTTCTGTTCCCTTTGGTTTGTGTTTGTTTGGGTCAGAACACGGCCACAGAATTAGCTACCGGTTTGCCCAAACTGAGGAGAACTGGTAACAGACCTAACCCTGCCCCGTTCCGCTGGTATAATATAACCCAGAAGTTTCTTACCTATGAGGGACCCTCCGCAGAAGGGTCGTCCGTTTCTTTGGAGCATGGCGATCCATGGGGAAATTCCTCTCTGGGCATATTGTCCCCGGATGATCCGGCCGAGCGAACTTCTGGAAAATTTGGGTTTCCCGCAGACTGGGGAAGAAGGGAAAACCAAGATTTAGAACAGTTTTTTCCCAATTTCAAATGGGTGGACTTCAACTCCCAGAATTCCCCAGCCAACATGGCTGGATGGCTGACTAGGGAATTCTGGGAGTTGAAGTCCCCCTGCCTTAAAGTTGCCAAGTTTGAGGAGAATTCTGATCTGGAACCAAAGAAAATGGCTGAAAAGGGGCAAATTGATCTCAAGCAATAATTTGGGGGGCGGGGAATTTTTATTGATTTATTTAGCATACTTAAGTGCTTAGTAAACAGTGTATTGTCTGGATCCATTTACAAATACATAACTAGCTTGATACCCGTGCTTTCTTACAAAACTATTTGGTGGGGTTTAGTTTTCGGGGAGGAAAAACAAGAGGAAAAACTTTCAGCCGCTGCCTCCCAACATCTATCGGTATTCATCTGGCTAGCATCCTGTCAGTGTGTGAAAGAGAGTTGAGGGCTGTTTGGAAACTGAAAGAGTATTTGCTGTGTGAGCAAGAAGGAGACGGCAAGGAGCCTGGGCGTGGCTTAGCTCAACTGTTCTGTACTAAAGCTGCTTGGTGCTGCTGTGAAACTGAAACTCCTCTGCTTGTGTTTTCCATTTGGAAGAGATTTCTTGGCAGGTGGGGAGGGGGAGTAGAACTCCTTAGCATCAGAGCGTGTTAATAATAATAATATAGAAAATGCTAATAATGCTCTGAGGGTCATTTGGAAATATCCTTTCTTAGTGAGCCCCTAGAAGCCAAATTTCAAGTTTGTAGGCTTTACGGTTCTGGAGATTTCGTGATGATGCCTGAGGGGCATTTCGCTTTTAGATAGATAGAAGATAGAAGATAGAATATAGAAGAAGAAGAAGAAGAAGAAGAAGAAGAAGAAGAAGAAGAAGAAGAAGAGGAGGAGGAAGAGGAGGAGGAGGGGGGAGGGGGAGGAGGGGAGGAGGAGAAGGAAGAGAAGGGAGGGGAAGGGAGGGAGGGGGAGGAGGAGGAAGAAGAAGAAGAAGAAGAAGAAGAAGAAGAAGAAGAAGAAGAGGAGGAGGAGGAGGAGGAGGAGGAGGAGGAGGAGGAGGAGGA